AAATGCTACAGCATTTTAACGTACATGGTAAGAATGAAAAAAAATGGCCTGAAATTTTGTGAAGTTATAATTAGGGTCGTCATAGAGGTTAAGAAATGGTAAATATGAGCATAGGATGATGACCAAAAGTTAGAGACGTCACAGAAATCGTGCTAATGTTTCGTTTTCCTTGTATTTTTGGTCGAATGTTAATTTCCTTTAATAAATGGGAACTTCAATAGAACTTGTAATGTTTTCCCCTAAAAAAAGGCATGTTTTGGCAAAATATAATCATAATAACAACAAAAAATTAAATTACTCAAGTACTATTGATATACTTAATTGTTGGCAACATTTTAATATAAAATGTTAAGAAACGATAGGCACATATCTAATAATTAATAATTAATTTACTTGTTATCCTTAATAATATCTTATTAATTACAAGTTGCAGGAGTTCATTTAATATAATATCTAAAGTTTTAATCGATAGAGTAAGATGAATATTACTTCGAACCCATAGATAGATTCATTTTATGGCGGGGGAAACGCATGCCTGCATATAGAATGATCAGCTAGCTTACGTTTCGCTAAAAATTAGATGAGATTATTACGTACAACCACACACACATGTCATGTGTGACAATATATAGACACTACTAATTATATATAAACATTAGAATGACACGCAGGTACAGTGATGCATATTATTGATGAGCTTATATTCAATTCAGTCATTTGTGAAGGCAAAACCAATTACGTAGTCGGTGCTGAAAAAACAAACAAATAAATAAAAATCATTTATTATGGTCCGGCAGAAGCGGTTGAGAAAAATAAATAAGTTTCTGATCAGAAGGTCTTCAAGTAATCGATGAATCAGTGGGTGCCAGCGTTTGGGTTGGCATTGGTTGAGATTCCTAATATTCGGTACGCATGTGCAAATATGAACATTTAATAAGTTTGGACTTTTTATATATACAATGTTTGAATATATATATATATATATATGTATATATGTGTCTATATATAGGGGTCTCCAACGTATCAAAGGCATACGAAATTGAAGAGGAGATCAAGAGAAACAAATAGCTAATATGGCTACTACTCCGGGAATCCTTACTGACTGGCCATGGAAGCGCCTTGGAAGCTTTAAGGTACTTTTCATTTTGCTACTAAACCCTAACACCACTCCCATGCATGCGGGCATATATATATATATATATATCATATTTGAAAATCGATACTCAGATATTCAGTCAACCAAAAAAGGTAAGTTTATTCATGTTCAGTTCACAATTGTATAAAATATACACATCGCTTGTTGTGGTCCTCTAAAGGTGGCTTTATTCAAGAGGGTGCTACTTATAAATACACAAAAATAAGCACTGATATAGTCCTTTTTTGTGTGTTTTGGAGTAAAATGAAATATCCTTTTTGTTAATTCCTTTTATACGACAAAGTTCATTATGTTATTGCCATAAAAGTACACAAAAGAGAAATTATGTCATGACACAGGTTCTTAGACACACAGCATAAAGATTGTGACTAATATATATACGTTGCGCATGCATTGATGAGTTGCGGCTCCTTCCGAGTATCATGGGATAGAGAAAATTGTTCAACTTAACTTATTCTTGATTAATACTTTTTTTTAAATGATATAGTTACTTGACTAAAAAAGATATTAATTAAAAGTAAAAGAAAAAATTTAGACCCATACGTTTTAAATGATATTTGACTCATTATCGTACGCCTACTTTTTGATGATAATACGTAGTATCAAACCTTCTGGACCACAAATTGGTTTTTGTCAAAGAAAAAGAAAGAGTATGTTGAAGCAAAGACAATCTCATGCGCTTTTCATTAGCAATAAATATTTTTTTTGAGCAAATAAATCTTTTTTTTTCGGTTGAACATTAGCAATAAATATTGTCGTAGCCAATATTATACTCTTTTGTCAACTCTTTTTCAACAAAAGCTTCTCTAGTTTCAATCGCGGCGACTATCGTGATTAAAAGTACTCTTCTATACTCACATAATTGATAGGATTCCTCTTTCACCAGTTTTTTTTCTTTTTTTTTTGTCCTTGCTTAAGTTAGTGCCTTGCTAGTTACTGTTTCTTGTGCCTTTGGGTTGGTTTTATTATTGTTGACTCTTTGGTTGTTTTGTCTTTCGTTTTTATCAATAATATTAGATTTGGGGGTTTGGTAAATGATAAGTTGTTAGAGGATGCCAAGTGCAAACTTAGTTGGGATGTTTTGAGCAACTGTAATATCAGTTATCATTTATTGTCATTTATTTTTAAAAAAGAAGATTTTTTTTTGAGAAATTATATTTTGACTCTTTGACTAGAAGCTCTTCTAGAGAAAATTCTTTTGAAAAATTGACAATATTTTTCAGAAGTAGCTTTTATATATACTAAAAAAGTCAAAAGGCTACTTAGACATTGTTAAGTTTTTGAAAATATTTATTATAGTTGCATTGTTGGTCAGAAGTTACTATGATCAAAAGTGCAGGTAGACGTACGTTTGATAAATTTTCTTTCAAAGCTACTATAAATATTAGAAGCAGAATTTTAGGTGTTTGGAAAAATAGACATACTTAAAAAAAAAAAAAATTTATAGTTTTAGTTTTTATTTCTAATTTGAAACATTCATAGTATTTTAGACCGAAGTACTAAAAGAAATATAATTTAATTTTGTTATTTGAAATATTACTGACTTATTGTTGTTAATTTGAATGTTTTTAACAATTACAATAATAAAATAAATGCTAAATTTCGGATTTATTGTTATTACTTGCAAACATCTTGTTAATTATTAAAAATATTTGAGTAAATTTACTATAGTATATTTTGCAACTTTTAAACAAATATTAAAAAAATACTATTTTAAAATAGAGAGATAAAATGGGCAGATTGATGATAACAAAGTGAACAACAAAGTGAACAATAACAACATAAGCTTCCATGACAATCTCTGATCTACTTCTCAAACTCTATTGTTGGGCGACAATTTTTAAAAGTTGATGGACAAAGAGCGTTTACCCAACACCCTCACATGTTGTAAATTATCATAAAAAGCAAAGAATAACGTCTAAAAGCAATACAAAACGAACCCAAAAGCATCTCTCAGGAAGCAATACCAAATAAATGTATTGTTATTGTTTTTTTTAAAACTTTTTTTTATCTCGGAATTAAGTTCTGTTCCCGCCTTTCATCCTTTTAAAAACAGTTTAGTCTTTTTTTTTTTCATTCACATAAATATAGCAAGTCAAAGAAATAATTATCTCGAAGAATCATTAGGAGTTTTGTTTCTTAAAATTATTTTCTTGAATTTCTTCGGACCAGTAGTTCGTGTGAATTAAGATCGTATTTTCTGCTGGAAACGATGTAGTTATTATAATACTTAGTCACTCTGATGTACGCATCATATATATATATATATAGATATAAATAGTATATATATATATAGACACACACATCTCAATTCTCATATTAACAGGATGATCATGAGACTTAATGACTAACACCATATACGATGTGGCATACATGGAATTGCAGTACGTGATATTGGCTCCGTGGGTTATCAAGTGCACAAACTCATTTTTGAGAAAGAATGATCCACAAGAGAGAGACTTGTCATCTTTCCTCATCTTCCCTCTTCTTCTTTGGAGAGCGATTCACAACCAAATTTGGATTAGTTTCTCTCGTTACCGAACAACCAAAGGCAATAATCGAATCGTCGACAAGGGTCTTGAATTCGACCAAGTTGACAGAGAGAGAAATTGGTCAGTTTTTGCTCATGTATATCTTACTATAATTAATTAATATACACATGAACATCTTAACTATGTACGATTATATATTAAATTTGCCTATCCTTTTACTAGTTTAATTAGTGAGCTAAATAAGCTCATGCTCTCGTTGATCATATATATGTGTGTGTATATATGAGAGTATATATTAAATTTTGCATACTAGTTTAATTAGTAAGCTCTAGCTCACTTTTTATTTCTATGTTTCAGAGCGGCATGTCATGCTTTTTAATTTTTTGCTGGACTTACAATTTTCTTTTGGGATAAACTTATTATTTTTCTTGTTTTCTTTTTCTTTTTTGTCGTAAATGAATTAGAGTAGAGGATTTGGTAACCAAAAATTGAGTGCAATTGTAATTAATTACATTTTTTTTTTGTTTTTGTTTGATAATTATGACTTCTAACAGGGATGACTAAATATTGTTGAGTGGAATCATAATCTACTTGACAAGCCAAATATTGCCGGGAGGCTCAAACCTACCAATGTGGAAGACAGATGGCGTAATATTAACTATTATTTTCCATGCAAGTGTCGTGGAGTTCCTTTACTATTGGCTTCACAGAGTACTTCACCACCATTTCCTCTACTCTCGCTATCATTCTCATCACCATTCCTCTATTGTCACGGAGCCCATTACCTGTAAGCTCGACCTATAATACTTTTTTTTCGGCTAATTATGTCTATTTGTTATTTATCTCTGGAGAGATTGGAATTAAGGGGAATGTATCATTATAGAACTACCGCAAATTTAAAGCTTGGATTAACTTATACTAGAAATAATAATTACTAAAGAATATCACGCCATGTCATTACCAGCCGATAACCGGCATGATACTATTCACAACTAGCTCTTCTTGTACTAACTAATGATTTTTTTTTTTTTTTTTTTTTTGGGTGCGAGCAGCTGTAATTCATCCATTCGCAGAGCACGTTGTGTATTTCATCCTCTTTGCAATACCCTTCCTAACAACAGTATTTACTGAAACTGCATCAGTAGCATCGCTTGTTGGTTACATGACTTTTATTGATTTCATGAACAATTTGGGTCATTGCAATTTTGAAATAATTCCTAAGTGGTTCTTCTCTATCTTCCCTCCTCTCAAATCCCTTATGTACACCCCCACGTAAGCTTCAACCCAGCCATACCATCATTTAATGATTATATTTAATCCTTAAAATTATCTCATAAAAATTTTCATTGCAGGTTTCATTCTTTACATCACACTCAGTTTCGAACCAATTATTCTTTGTTTATGCCACTTTATGATTACATATATGGTACGATGGACAAATCTTATAGTTGTCTATATGAATCATCACTCAAAAGAAGGAAAGAGTTGTCAGATGTCGTACATCTAACGCATCTAATAACACCGGGGTCGATTTACCATCTACGGCTTGGCTTTGCTGGATTGGCTTCTAAGCCGTACGTATCAAAATGGTACTTACGGTTGTTCTTACCTGTGACGTTTTTGGGACAAATGGTATTAAGATGGTTGTATGGTCACTCGTTTGTTGTCGAGAGGCTTCGTTTCGGTAAGCTTAAAATGCAAACATGGGTTGTACCGAAATACAAGATTGAAGTAAGTATTACTCTCCATGGATCCTAAACCTTAAAGTACTTAACGCTGAGACAACTAATATTGATAATATATACATATGTATATGCATATATGTTTCAGTACTTACAATGGAAAAATTCATCTATCAACGACTTGATTGACGAAGCCATACTTAAGGCCGAGGAGGACGGGGTCAGAGTACTGAGTCTCGGTCTCTTGAATCAGGCAAGTACATACATACATACATACATATATATAGTTCCATTTTTTTTTTTTCCAATTTCAAGTTAATTCTATGTATTTAATTATAATGTTAATGCCATAATATATGTAATATGCGTGAATGTCTATACAAAACGTATATATGTGTCCTATCATGTCAAATTGCATATTGGAGTACATCTATGTTTGTTATATATGTATATGTGTGTGTGAATATATACCCACCAAAAGTTAAGATAATGAACACCACTGAGAATCTAATAATGAAATGGTGTAGGATGATATATAAATTACTTGATGTGAGTTATTTTTTGCTCTATGTATGAAGAAAGTTATGTAAGAAGAAAAATGTTCAACAATATTGTTCTTTAATTCTTTCTTTGATCTCAATGCGAAATGTTTTATATCAATTTTTCAGAGTATGGAGTTAAATGCATATGGCGAGCTTTATATTAACAAACATCCTCAGTTAAACATGAAGATTGTAGATGGTAGTAGCCTTGCGACGGCTGTAGTACTGAACAATATTCCAAAAGGGACAACTCAAGTTCTCTTTAGAGGAAAACTTAATAAAGTTGCTTACGCAATTGCTTTTGCTTTGTGCCAAAAGGGTATCCAGGTAATATAAATACAAGTGTAGACCAAATATATATATATATATATTATGGACTAAACGTAATTTTGGCAAATAATTATATCACGTATATCTTTTACTTCTCTATTCAACTGATTCCATATCTCACATAAAAATAAAAACATATATCACTTTTATTAAAACTTCATTAATCGAAGCTTTTAAATTTTTAAAATTAAAAGTATTACATTTTTCCTCTCTTTAATTTATAATAACGCTGCAGAAAAAGGGTTTTCGCAATAAAATTAAGTCGCAGAATATTTTCTTATTTCTTATATTTATAGTTCCATAACTGCAACAAAACCAACTTTTATAGTTCAATCAAATGCGTCATACGAAGAAATCATTTATGGAAAAAATAATAATTTGGCTATAAAAAGCGAGCAACATTTATTCTATTTTATTAATGGCAGTATATGTGCACCTGAAAATAACTTAAAATTACCAGTACACTTGGATGTTGGCGCAAACTTAAAACATTTTTTAAGGTACACAGGCATTTTAATATATGTCTTGAGTATTATTTTATAAATTGTATCAACTAATTGACGTGGGCTGAATTTAATTATTTATTCAGATAGCTACATTGCATCCCGACGAGCACGAGGAACTTAATAAACACTTAACTGATGCCAAATTTGCTTGTAATTCAGTTCTCTCAAGATGTTGTTCTCATAAGGTAATATAATGTTAATTGCTTCATATTAGTACTTCTTTTTGTGCACACACATTCTAATTATGATTTGAGAACAATTCATAAGAATAATGGTATTAATTAACTTATAAAGTTTTTTACAAATTGATGTCTGGTAGACTATATATCATGTTTAGCAATGTTTCTGTTTTTAGAAATTTTTACTTTTTTAATTTTATTTTTAAAGAGTTAGACACCTTAATTCTATACTATTTAGAGCAAAAAATTTATAAAAGAAAAGGGAAAAAAATTAGAGTGCACAAAAAAATTTATAGTGATTTACCCTTATATGAGAGATGTGTCCACTCTCAGTCGTCGTAGACATTCACTACGATGAAAAAGAATATTACAAGAGAAAATCATACATATTATTGCTGCTTGGATCTAATATGTGTATATGCCTGTTTCAGATCATATTGATTTTAGTCTATTATTATCATTATAATATGTAAGCAACTCTTCGTCATGGTTTTCAAGGCTATTAGCGTTATAGTTCTTCTTCACTTCTTGAATGCAAACTATGCTACGAAGCGGTATATATAGTAGAGCAAATATAATAATAGCCACAAAAATATAAAACTTAAGAAAAATAACGACACAAGTTGCACTTCAACTACTCACACTAAACTCACGACACCTAATTGCCAACATAAAATATCAAGCATTATTTTGGGCTTGTGTATTTTGGCTGGTGATGATCTCTAACTGCCTTTCCCTTTGATATAAATTAAAACGCGTGTAATTTCTATAGTTAGAGGAGGAGATCTCTATCTATTCCTAAAACTGTATTAGTAAATGTACATAATGCAGCGGACGTAGACTTGAACGATTAATATTCACCCTAAATCCCTTGTTCATCTTATCTCTTCTTCATATTCGTTGTTATTATCACTAATGAAATACTTCCTATTCGTTGTTATTATCTCTAATCAAATTCTAATCCTAGGATTTGATTGGACTTATGTTTGAAAACTACAAAATGTATAGACTTGAACGAATCACTCATGTTCATCTTATCTTCTTCATATTTGTTGTTATCTCCAATCAAATTGTTGTCTAAGAATTTTATTGAAATTTTTTGAAAAATTTTAACCGTCTAACTTATTCCTGTAGAGGGTAAAATAAACACAAATCTTATCATGTTATTCACTCTTGTTATGACAGTAAAAAATAACTAAAATATAACACGAGTCCCGTATAATAATAACATGAGATTATTGTTGAACACCTCAGACTTTTAAGTATCCATTGGTATGTGATAATGTTGAGCGTTGTTAGTTTTATTGTCACAACAAGATACATGAGCCCCGACTGTACTATTTATGGATTGACGTTAAATTAATGTTAAGTTGACTAATGAGAAATGTACTTTTCTTCTTATCCTTTTAAGTATCCTTGTTTTTTTTGTTTGTCTCTCCTTTTTCCATTCTTATCTTTTTTACCTTATTATACATTCTCTTTTTTTTTTCTCTCCCCTAAATTGATCCTAATAAATAAACTTTTCACTTTAACTATTTTCTTCTCCTATGTATATATCCCCATCTTTTTTATAAAAAAAAAAATCTCTTCCCCTGACCAAAGGTTTTGTAACTGGTTTTTTATTTTTTATTTTTTAACTTTCCTTCCTTCTTCTGTCTTTTTTTTTTTTTTTGTCTTCCTTTTTATTTCATTCTTATCTTTTTGTGTCCTATTATACAAACATATATAAATAGATATATATTTTATTTTTTTAAATGAGACCTTACGAAATATGTTTTTTATTTTTACTTATAGAATCGTATGCACGCAGTTCCAACTAGTACACTTAAAAAAGAGAATTCAGACTTTAACACACGAGTCGGGGTTATATATGTAGTTTTTCTTTTAATTATTTGATATACGCATATATAAATGGTTTATAATCAGAAAAGAAGACCGCTGATGTACGATGGTCTCATCACCTGAGTATAATACAATATTGTGTAACATGACAGCTCTCTCTTTTAATACTATAGCTTGACTGCCTCATGACTTGCTATCAAAATCTGTAATTTAAGAACACAACATTGGCTTGCAACTCTCTCTTTGGTCGTACGTATATTCGCTATTATTAGGTACACCATTAATATACATACATACACGTATTATACATACATATACATATACACAATAAATTGAGGAAAAAGAAAACATGACAAGTGAACTTGGATCATGACGACAATATTGCATTTATCAATTCAATGTCCGAACTACTCTAAAATAGTAATTACGATCCTCCTAATTAAATTTATAAATTAAAAAAGAAGTATTTTATATTAATAGGAAATAGACTCGATATTAAATTTATAAATAAGAAAATAAAACTTTGAACTTACACGTTAATTGAAGATTCCCAGACGCTTACACGTAATTTATATGATGATGAGATACAGGATAAGGCAAACTCTAATAAAGAAACTTCTTTTACAATCTAAAGGATAATGATTGTAGAGGTTGGGAGGTACTATATTTGGTCAAATTAAGTGTTTGAGAAAAAAAAATTAGTAGTTTTGAGGCAGAGCAAAATGTTCTAAAAAAATACACCAGGCAGAGTTGAAATAATAAAATAGTGAGGATAACGTAATTTATAGGTAATTATGACAAAAAAAGAAAAAGAACGTAGTTTACAGATTGTTTGATAGTTGATACATTTATACACAGAATTGAAATTCAAAGAATGAATTTAGTGGTAAAGGGATTCGTTCCCTGATTCGAATCATAATTCGTGGGTCGCTGCAGTATTTTCTCTCACAACAAATACACGTAAATTAAAAATGGTTCTAATCACATGGTTCTAATCCATGAACCAAACGGGCTCTGAGTGTTATACTTCTAAGGAAGATGCTTCTTCATCTGGGGTTTCTTAGGCATCGTTCACTTCGCGGATTTAAGTTTTCAATTCGAGTTGAAATGTGACATTTTTTTAGAGCTTTTCACTGTAGCAGAAAAAAATTAGATGTGGCATTTTTCGAGAGCTTTTTACTATAGAAACTTAAAACTGAAAACTCGAATCGGTGAAATGAACGAGGCTTTAATATATCTATCTTCATCGATAATATCAAGTTTGAACAAAAACAAGATGTTCAATCAAATCCGCTTAAATGTTCAATCAAATCCGCTTAATTGACACTGCACTATTCGAAGTCTATATTAATTAAATCCCTCCCCTCCTTCCCCAATATTAATTTCAACCTTCAAAGGAAAAATATGATCTTTCTCTAAGGTATCCCTACTTACACGTATTTCTTTTTCTTGTATTGTCCTAATTATTATTATTATTATTTTGTTATACGTATCCTTCAGTAATTTTCTTTCTAATTTTTGTATTAAATCTTTTTTCGAACCTATCGGCCAAGTGTTTGAAATTAAAACAATTTCTTGTTGATAAAGAATATAAAAAGTATTTTTAATATAAACACAAGACATTTATATTGATGTATAAATACATTTTTCATTAAATATATAGTAAATAATATATACTATTCGAGTGCCTTACCGACAGTAACACGTTCGGGTACTTCACGAACAGTAATACTTGCAAAACACGTTACTAAACTAGGATCAATAAATCAAAAGAGAGAAATTTCAACACGACAAGAAACCATGACAAGTGAACTTGGATCACGACGACAATATTGCATTTATCAATTCAACGTCCGAACTACTCCAAAATAGTAATTACGACCCTCCTAATTAAACCTACGAATTAAAAAAGAAGTATTTTATATTAATAGGAAATAGACTCGATATTAAATTTATAAATAAGAAAATAAAACTTTGAACTTACACGTTAATTGAAGATTCCCAGACGCTTACACGTAATTTATATGATGATGAGATACAGGATAAGGCAAACTCTAATAAAGAAACTTCTTTTACAATCTAAAGGATAATGATTGTAGAGGTTGGGAGGTACTATATTTGGTCAAATTAAGTGTTTGAGAAAAAAAAATTAGTAGTTTTGAGGCAGAGCAAAATGTTCTAAAAAAATACACCAGGCAGAGTTGAAATAATAAAATAGTGAGGATAACGTAATTTATAGGTAATTATGACAAAAAAAGAAAAAGAACGTAGTTTACAGATTGTTTGATAGTTGATACATTTATACACAGAATTGAAATTCAAAGAATGAATTTAGTGGTAAAGGGATTCGTTCCCTGATTCGAATCATAATTCGTGGGTCGCTGCAGTATTTTCTCTCACAACAAATACACGTAAATTAAAAATGGTTCTAATCACATGGTTCTAATCCATGAACCAAACGGGCTCTGAGTGTTATACTTCTAAGGAAGATGCTTCTTCATCTGGGGTTTCTTAGGCATCGTTCACTTCGCGGATTTAAGTTTTCAATTCGAGTTGAAATGTGACATTTT